ATTGTTCTTGTTTTATTCTAATTTGTGTGAGTGGCTGGGAGTCAAACCCAGGGCCTCGTGGCTGCTGAACATGTGATACCACTGAGCTGCACCCCCAGGGCTAGGAGTTTTAGGATTTCCTGCAACTAATTTGCCTGCCTTTTCTGTTCAGATGTTTATCTCATAGAAGAGGCACTCTCCTTGCCGAAGGTTCCAGGTTTCCATTCCTTCTCTTTTCTCTAAAACATCTCAAAATTGTGCTCTATAAACTTAGGCTTATAATTTATTCAGGGGGGGGCGTTTGTATATGTGGTTGATGGCTCTCGTTTCACATATTTTTAAATTACACTCACCCATCTTTTCTTAGTTTTGATGGTGAATATGTATTGTTCTCATGAGAACATTGTCATTTATTTATTTATTTATTTTTAGTTCAGTTGCATCTGTAAATTTCCTGGCTCATTTGCACACAGTTTTCCATCACTGTGAACTGATCTTTCTGACTCACTGTCTTCCTGTTGTTTGTGGTGAGAAGGGATATAGAGCTGAGACATCGCTGGTGAGCCCACATCTCCACAAGGACAAGCTGAGGCTGCTGCTTGTAGCATAAGGCCTGATTGTGTGTGGCAGGCCTCAGGGGAGTCCCCCATGCTCCGCACGACCTGACTGGACGGGCTCAGATGAGGAAGCCACAGAGGTCTGTTCTTGCCCACACTCCATGCGTGCTTGCCTGTGGGTGGTCCAGCTGAGTGTGTGCGTGTTCTGCTCCTGAGGTGGAGCTTGCAGTTGATGCTCCGCCCCCAGCCTGTACTCTTTCCCATTACTTTTCCTCTGAGAAGCGAGATTGGGACCATCTTGAGACTCCGAAACGTGTCGGGCCTTTTTCTAAACATGAAGTAGTGTGCTGTTGGTAGCTCACTGAAGGTTATGTGTGGTCTGCATCATTACTCACCTCCTCGGGGGAGGAATTGCTATTAGCTGAGTTAATGCGGACGCCTCATCACCGTCTCGCTTACTTTCTCATTCACTAGCTTTGCTCTTGGCTTCCGTGTACAGTGTTTGCTCAGGTGCACTCATCTTGATGCTTGGGTTTCTCTGTTCTGTTCGCGTGTCTTCGACCGTAGTGCTGGAGGCAGAGGATGCGTGCTTTCCTTCCTTGACAGACAGGGTCATTTCTGATCACAAGAAAGGACGACCTTGCCTGAGTTCTTTGTGCAAATTGGATAGAAAAGAATCTGAAGTCATTTACACAGCATGTGATGTTTTTCTAGGTTTTAAGTGAGACATCAAGCAAACTTAGCCTGTAAAGATATAACGATTTTAGGCTGTTTGGGTTATAGGATCACTGTGACAACTATTCAGGTTTACCATTGCTGTTCCAAAGCTGTGATGCGCAAACACACCACCTCTGTTTACCAGTGAGCAGACATGATCCTTCCACCAGAGTTTGCTGACGCTCATTTTTTTTTATTTAAATTCCAGCCTTTCTACCAAGAAATCTAATTATCTGACTAAGTGATTTCATAAAACCATGTTTAGATCAAGGACTCCCATTATCAAGGATCTCTGTGGGCCTTCTCTGAGGAAGTAAGATGCAGTATGGAAACATGATGATTACATACCCATTTTCAGTTCATCAAGAGTGCAAAGGTCAAACTCGGTTGGGTTGCAAAGGTCAAAATCTTTATTCCCCCAAATCAGCATTGCTCTGAGCTCTAACCTTGCTTGATCTAAGCATGTGTCTATCCCTAGTCGCTTCCTGTGTTTCATCCTCTTTCTGATTATAGAAGGCATCCACATTCACAAGCCATTCAGTCCAGATTGTTAAATTTTAGTATTTCGCTCTCACATGTATACACACACACACACACACACACACACATACACGGGTGTATGACAGCACCCTCCCAGGCCAGAAGAGGGTGTCAGATTCCCAGGAACTGAACTGTGAACCACCCAGTGTGGGTGCTGGGAACTGAACTCTGGTCATCTGAAAGAGCAGCAAGTGATCTTAACCACTGAGCCACCCCACCCCCTTTATCTTATCGTGGTCACTGAGACCCCAGATCTGAAAAGTGTCTTTCCTTCTATCAGTTAATTCCTTTGTACGGCCAACCCAGAAGTGACTGAGTGAGCCCGAGGCCTGCTTTGCTGTGTCTGTTTGCCTGTGTCCAGGGAGTGGAAGCATCTTTTACACTAAAGCTACTGGGTGGAGAGCAGCATAGGAGGGATTGATGTCTTTCATTAAGAACTTTGGACCTGGGCGGGAGAGATGGCTCAGCAGTGGTTAAGAGCACTGGCTTCTCTTCCAGAGGTCCTGAGTTCAGTTCCAAGCAACTACATGGTGGCTCACAATCATCTGTAATAGGATCTCTGATGCCCTCTTCTGGCCTGCAGGCATACATGCAGACAAAGCACTCATACACAGAAACAAGTAACTTTGGACCTAAAGTTATTCCACAAGAGAAACTATCTCAGAGTCTAAATATTTTGAAGACTAATATTGTAAATGTCACTTATTTCTGCTTGCTAAATAGTTTAAAGGGACATAAATTATTGTCCTAAGAAACTAAGACTGTTTTCCCATTGTCAACTTTACTTTTTTTTTTTTTTTTTTTTCCAAGACAGGGTTTCTCTGTGTAGCTTTGGAGCCTGTCCTGGCACTCGCACTGTAGACCAGGCTGGCCTCAAACTCACAAAGATCCTCTTGCTTCTGCCTCTCAAGTGCTGGGATTAAAGGCGTGTGCCACCAATGCCCGGTCAACGTTACTTTTAATGTTAAGATATACATATATGTACTGTATATGTACATATATATATGTATATATAAAATACACAGAGGGAGAGAAGTAACATAGTTATATAGAAGAGACTTTGGGAAATTTAAAAATCATAAACAAGGACAGTAAACCATTCACACTTCAGTTGCTCAGAGAGAATGACCGCTAACATGCTCCTGACCATCTCTTGTGACATCTCTCTGTGCACTTGTACCCACTTAGATTAGCTGTAAAAATTCCACATGCAGGAGCTGATGCACAAAGTAGCTTTAAAACCTATTGTTTTACTAAAGAACTCAAAATGGGTGTCCGTTTTGGGGGCCTAATACCGTATAGCATTAACATTAATGGCTCTTTGGCCTTCTACTCTTATCGTGACCTGCGTGGACAGTCTCTGGTGGTGACTTTGAAGTACTTTGGACTTTTCTGTTGTTATTATAGCAAAACTAAGGTGAACATTCTTGTGTGTTTCTCCTGTCATGCTGCTTTCAGCAGAGTTAGTGTGGGTGTGCCCATATTTGTGTTTAATCTTGGTACTGGGGAGATTTTATTCAGTTATAACTGTCCCAGAGTTATTATTTCTTATTGAAAGACCCCCGAAGAGGTACTTTCGTAGAGGGAGACCCACACACCCAGGAATCAGCGAGGCCACGAACTGGATGCAAAAAACAAGAGGCTTTATTGGAGACGCGGGTACCCGGGGCGACTTAGCTTCTGTGTGGCTAAGCGCCCCGAGCCAAGGGAAAGGGGTCCTTATATAGGGAAAAAGGCGCAAGCTAGGAGCAGGGATTCTATTGGATAATTCTAATGAGGCATTGTACAGAGCTATTCCCATTGGTCAATGTATATGAGGCGCTATACAGGGTTATTCAAATGAGGCAAAGTACAGAGTTATTCAAATGAGGTGAAACA